TATATAAGTAAGAGGATTTTATAATTAAAGGCTACTAGCCTAATATATTTTATATTATTTATATACTTTTAGGTATATATAACTTTTATTACTTTATTATATAGCTTATTATAGCCTTTTTTATTAATAGTTTAATTAATTTTATCTCTTATATTATAGCCTTTTTTTAAATAAGGCTTATTAAAATTAAGCTATAGGCTTCTTTTAATAGGTATTATAATAAGGCAGCTATAATGTTGTTAGTAATTGCAATTAAAAGCCAGGTTAAATAACTTACTATATATTAAATAATTAAAGCATGCCTTTAAAGTAGGGTTATAAAAAGAAGATTTTAACTAGCTAAAAAGTAAGGCTTTTTAGCTAAATTAAATATATTTAAGTTTAGGCTATAATTAAAATAGCTAACTTAATAATATTAACTTAATAAAGCTTTATTATTTAAAAGGTAAGGAATATTTAAATTATAATAAATTTTAAAGATATTTAAATACCTTTTAAGGCTAATATATAAACTTAAAAAAAAATAAAAAGAAAATACCTTTATTACCTTAAGTATTATATAAATAACTTTAATATATTATAAAAAAAGTACATAATAATATTTAAAACTTTTATTATAAATTCTTTTATAGATAATATATATTATATTTATAAAGGTTATAATTAAAAGGATATTAAAAAGAATTTAAAAGAAATCTTTATAGCTAAAAATAATAGTTTTATAAATAATCTTAAAGCTAGGCTTAAAAAACTTAATTAAAAATAGCTTTTTAATAATTACCTTTAAATAATTAAATAGTTAATTTATTATTAATTTAAATTTAAAAAAGTTAATAATAAATTTAAATTAATAACTATTTAATTTAAAAATATCTTTAATATTATTTATTAAAATATTTTAAATAAAATTTTATTTTAATATAAAATAAAATAAAATAATATATAAAATATATTTTATAAAAGGCTTATTTAAATAATTAAATTTATTATTAATAATAAAATTACTAAAATAAAAAAGTATTAATATCTTAAAGAGAATAAAAAAGATTTATTTTATAACTTATTTTAAAAAGCCTTAAAACTTAAGGTAATAAAGGTATTAATTAAAACTATTTTAAAAAAAAAGTAAAAGTTAATAATTAATACCTTTATAAATAAATTAATTACTTTATTTAAAGAAATATAAATTAATATAGCTAAAGAAATAAAAAATAAAATTAAAAAAATATTTAAAATACTTTAGGCTTAAATAAAAAAAAGCTTTTAAATTAAATAATAAGCTAATTATAATATATAGCTATTTAAATATATTTTATAGCTATTAATTTAATTAATTAAATAAAAAAGAAGTTTAATATATAAATAAATATAAATTATATAAATTAAAAATAATAATATTTATATTAATATTATATTAAAAAAGGCTACTTTCTTAAAGACTGCTATAATTTAAGTTATAATAAAACAAATAGTATCTTTAATTATAATATAATAAGTAATATAGCCTAAATAAATTATTATAAATTTCTTATTTTAAATTACCTTATTTATAAAGTAAAAGGCAATTTTAATATTAAAAAGATAATTTATATTTAAATTTTATATTTCTTTAAGTCTTACTTTTATTTAAATATTAAATATATTATAATTTATAATAATATTAAAGTTAGCTAAAATATATAAAGTAAAATCTTAAATATTATTTAAAAATTCCTTAATAAAAAGCTTAAATTAAATTACTATAAGCCTTTATATATTTATTTTAATAATAATATTTATTTACTTATAAAAGTTATTAATAAATTATATAATAATACTTAACTTTAAATAAAAAAGTTAATATAAATAAATTTTATTATATTTAATAAAAACTTAAAAATAATATTAAATAATTAAAAACCTTAATTCCTTAAGGTATAACTCTTTAATATTAATATTAATTTTTTTTTTAAATTTATATATTAACCTTAAAAGGTATTTAAGTATCTTTAAAGTTTATTATAATTTAAATATTCCTTATTTTTTAAATAGTAAAGCTTTATTAAGTTAATATTATTAAATTAGCTGCCTTAATTATAGCCTAAACCTAAATATATTTAATTTAATTAAAAAGCCTTACTTTTTAGCTAGCTAAAATCTTCCTTTTATAACCCTACTTTAAAGGTTTTATATTAATCTCTATAATATACTGTATTTTAATTATTTAATATATAGTAAGTTATTTAATTTAACTTCCCTTTTAATTGCAATTATTAATAATATTATAACTACCTTATTATAATATCTATTAAAAGAAGCCTATAGTTTAATTTTAATAAGGCTTATTTAACTAAAGACCTTAAAATAATTCCCTTAATTAACCTATTTATTAATAAAGATAATTATAATAACCTCTATAATATAGCTATAGAAATTATATTAGCCTGGAAGTTTATGGATAATACTAGCTATATTAAGTTAGTAGCCTTTAAAAAGGAATATAATCTATAAGGCTAAAAAGGTAATTAAATAAAAGGCTAAATAAATATTAATAATTAACTATAATTAGTAAATAAATAACTAACTATTTAGCCTATTTATTTTTAAATATAAAATCCTCTATCTTTTATATAAAAATACTTTTTATAGTTAATAACTTAAAAGTAAAATATAGCACTTAAAAGTTAAGTAAAAAAATACTTTTACTAAAGGTATAATAAATTAATACCTTAATAAGTTAAGAAATAATTATAGCTTTTAGATTTAAAGTATTTAAGTATTTATAGTAGTTATTATTAATAACTTATAAATAGGCTTTCTATTTATAGTATTTAAAGTTTATATATAATAAAATTACTTAAAGATTTTTAATAAAGTTAATTATATAAAATAAAAAATTTTATATATAAAAGAGAGTTTATATTTAAAAGTTAAAGCCTTTAATAAGTAAGAAAAAGCTATAATTAATTAAATAGAATTTATTTAATTAAGTATATTCTTTTTATAAAATAATAATTAATATTAAAGTAATAAATAATAATACTAATAGTAATTTTAATAAAAGTTACTTTTAAATATAAAATTAATTAATTATATATTTTAATATATATAATTAATTAATAAATTTAGTTATTA